GATTCACCATCACAGGAGAGCAAAAGAGATCTACAAAAACCAAAGTGCTCCTGTGTGCTTGTACAAAAGGCAAATAGAGTATTAATATATTTAAAGCATAGTTTTTTTGCATGTTCTGTAATTTGTGGATTTCAGTTTATGAGAAGTCACTGAATTCTTTCTGAGAAGAGACTCCTCCTTGTCCTCCCTGCTATAAAAGATAATAATGCAGAAAGAGACAAGAGGTTCAAATAAGTTTTACCAGTTTGTAGATTTTCCACATTGTTACAAAAGATAGGGTGGTAATGCGGAAAGAGACAGGAGTCTCAAATACGTTTTACCAGCCTGTCCGGTTCGTATTTTCTGCCCTATAGCAATAGGTCCTTCATGCCCCAAATTCATGTGTGAGGGACGTCAGCCATCATTCCCAGACTGCCTAAGTGAGAAAATCCCTCCAGGCTGATTGGTTACCTCACCTCTGGTGCATGGAGCACTCATGCTTACCCATGGCTATGGGCAGCCCATAATCACGTGGAAGGGCGTCCCTGGAGACCATCTCTGCTTGGACACCAGTCAGACTCCTACAGGGACTGTCCCCAGCACCCCTGCCCACTGCAGCCTGATAAATCAATCGTAACACTTGGTAAACCAATAAAAACGTCAACAACTGGAGCAGAAACGTAGCTTTTTTAAAAAAATAATGATGGCTATGGCTTGCGGAATTCTTCTTTAGAACTGTCTGTTATGAGTGTTATTATTATTATATTCTTGGCCACTGAACTTTTGTTTTTTTTAATAAAGGGACAATGGTGGTGGTGCTAATTAGCAGTGATGGTCACCTGTTTTTCCAGTCTCCGTGGAAAACAATCGATCGGCGGGCTGGTTTAAAAACCAGCAGCACTTTTTATACCATGTATCCACCTCAGAAAGTATTGCGTTCATGAAGACGTTGTTGGGGGTGTCAGAGACATAGGCTTTAAGGCTGAATTGGAAGCAAAATGATAATCTGATAAATCTCACTCTCTCTCTCACACACACACACACACACACACACACAGTTGTGTAATCATATCTTTATGGGGACCGCTCATTCACACACACACACACACACACACACACACACACAATCATATCTTTATGGGGATTGCTTATTCATTTCTTTGGAAAAAATGCTAATGCTAACTATGATAGCCTTAACCCCCACCCAGCCCTAACCATAACCATATGTAACCAAACAAAATACAAGAATTTTTGCATTTTTAGTTTTTTCATCGCAGTCAC